TAAAGTGGCGTCAAACTGCATTATTTCTACAATGTAGATGCACCCTGAAATAATAGGGATTTTAAGAACCGAAGAGGAGCTATAAAGGGGATCAGGCCAAGGGTTTGTTAGTCCAACTTTCTGTCCACAACTAGAAACCTCTGGGAAGGCCCCCAAAAGCAACTACAGCCTTTGTCTCTTGTTTCTGGAAAGATGCATGGATTGTCATTCATGAGTTCCTTCAAAGATTTCTCACTTATGGTGACCCTAAGCAAATCTATCATAGAGTTTTCTTAGCAAGATTTTTTTCTTCAAAGTCCTGTGAGGCTGAGAGAGTGTGACTTGCCCAAGGTCAACCAATGGGTTTCCATGGCTGAGTAGGGATATGAACCCAGGTCTCACAGATTTATGCAGTTTGATACCACTTTAATTGCCATGGCTCAGTGCCAAGGAATTCTGGGATTTGTGGTTTGGTGAGTTATCGATCCGTCTCCGTTAGAGAGCTGCAGTGCCACGACAAACTATAAATCCCAGGATTCTATCATCAATGTTTTAAGTTCTACTCTTGTTAAATTATTGTAAGCAGCCTTGAATCCCAGTTTGGTTGAAAAGCGGGGTTAAACAACGACAACAAAAATCTCTTAAATAAATAAATAAATCTATAGCATGGAACTATGGCAGTCAAAGCAGCGTCAAACTGCGTTATTTCTGCAGTGCGGATGAAGCCGAATCATTGGAGATAAGAAGACAGGGCTGGAGAATGTGGAAAGCAGCAGAAAAAGAGAACAGCCGCCCTTGGATCCCAGTTTTGGGAGAAAGGCAGGAGAGAAGTGCAATAAATAAAGACATGCAGATGGATTGATCCCACCCAAGAAGCCACAACTGCCCTGACTTTGCAAGACCTGAGCAGCATTGTTCCTAAGAGGGCCTTTTGAAGATACCTCCCAATCATCAAAGCTTATAACAGCAAGCCCAAGCCCACGGCTAGGAATTCGATGGCAGGCAGCCATGGCTTTGGGAAGGAAGAAGAATCCGAAAGGCACTAACGTAGACTATAGCTATTTTTTATTATGGGAGAAAACCAGCCCCCTTCTTCTGCAAGAGAAAGGTTTTATCGGCAGCACGGTCTTCCCAAGTCCCTATGAGTTGAGATTAATTTTCAACAGGGCCAAGGCGTGAGCCCCATCAGCTTGGAGCAACACATCTTGGCTCTTGGCAGCTTTTGCCGCCTCTTCTTTCCACCCCCACCTTGTGGCTAAGAGGCTACCAGAAGTCTATGTTAAGCATTCCCTTCCAAGCTCAAGGCATAATCCAATTTCCTGCCAGGAGAGACAAATGCTTCTAGGAAACACAGCAGCATTCGGGGGCAAGGAGTTATCGGCAGGGAGGACAAAATGTGGCTTCTCCTTATAGATGCGGGAAGTGCAGGAGGAATATAGAATCACAGACTCCTAGCGTCGGAAGAGACCACCCCAGGGCCATCCAGTCCAACTCCATTCTGCCATGCAGGAACT